CCGTTTCTTTTTCAGTATTTTATAAACCGTTTCTGCTTCAACGTTGTTCGCGTTAGGCATTTTTTCAGCGTCTCAAATTAAATTTAGTGCTGCCTTCACTTGCAGGTATCAAGACAAATGCGAATATAATGCAAACAGTCTGACGGCTAACGTATTCCTGGGCAGCAGCGTGTGGCATGGATGATGATGCCTCGTGTTCAAACCTCGTTTATCCTGTAGCAAATATCACAGAGTACGTTCAGTTCACACTTGGAGAACGTTGCCTTCCGGTGTGTATTTTGAAAAATCATACAACTTTTTTTGCTTTTCGGTTCCTGAACATAACGGAGATATGCAGCTTAGAAACAAAGAGATTGGCGAAGTTGTGCCCAGCGTATGAGAGCTTCTCAGTACCATCACTCACTTGAAATAACTACACTAGTTTTTGTCTAGGGTACCAACAGGTTGGGTTAAGGTACGGGTGGACAATCAGCAACCATCGGGTGGATTCGACCCGCGACTAGTTATAATCCGGCCCGCGGAGGGAATCGAAATTATCCAACTAGGTGAATGGGGTTTGTATTCCGCCACGCCTCTGCACTCTCATGCAAATAAATAAAAACAAAATTCACGTAAGTCTAATAGGCGACAATCTGAAAAATACTTTGAGACTCTGTGTTAGTGGTAAAAATCCAGATTTCAAGAAACTTGTGTTAAAAGTCCAAGCCCAGAGCTGACATTAACCTGTTACTGCTTATTTTTTTTCACTGAGTGAACAAACTGATAAAAATTTATCTGCTTTTGTACGTTTTTTTGATCATATGCAAATGCAAAACGTATAATTTCAAGAGGATACCCGTATATGTCTGTGTGTTCAGAAACGAGTGAGCTTTGTCGCTCCCTCTCACTCCGCAACGAGGAGAGCCATAATGCAACACCACCGTCCCAACCGACACCTTTTTTTTCCTACATGCAAGAAAAGACCAAAACACAGGCACATGAGTGGACGTGTAAACTGGCGCAACAACCTGTTAACGATCTGATTGTGTCAAGTTTAGCACAGAAGCGCATGGTCGCACGGGCAAACATGGTACGCTGCTACCTGGATTTTATTAAAAGGAAGCCCACACGCTTAAATAAATATGTAAATCAGATGCACGTATCGCCAAAGGTTGCCCATGCCTGAGTTAAGGCGTATATGACTTGAAGGGCCGGAACGACTTGTTTCACTCCCTTCTTTTGTTCTTTATTTCCCTTTTTATCAGTTTAGTTTTTAGTTCTCACCTTTCAATGCATCCAGGTATGAACTGACTGCTACGAGCTAATTCTTAATATAAAAAAGAGGAAGGAATTTTTGTTTAACTTGTTAATCATTGGCTCATTTCCGTGTATCGCTCAATGTGACTTATAGAGTGCACCCACTGTTAACCAGCTTCTTCAAGCTCACTTGCTTTCAAAATGACATTGGTTCATATTATGCAAGCATAGCTGGAAAAATCGGCGCAGTATTTTCTCGATACCCCTGGGTCTACCACGTTGTACCCAGCAGCGCCTCGGTGCTGCCATGCCCATGACAAAGTGTCTGAATCGAAACTTTATCGAACTTGTACTCATAAATGAAGCGGTGAGGTGCCACTTTAAAACTATGGATCACTTGTGTCTCTCTCCAACCCCTGATTCGAAATCGCTAATAAAAAACAAAGTTTTTCGAAGACCTGTTTAATTAAGTGAGTTGGAAGTTTGAAACAGCGTGTACAAAACTTAAAAAACCTTTATTTTCTTATCAAACAGTTCCTGAAGTAGTGGAATACAAATAACCAGAAAATGGTTATTGTTTGCAGAATTTTCAGGGTCTTCCGGTCTTTCGTGAGGAACAAAACTCCTGGAATAGTTACTAGTTCATAGCCTGGTTTCCCAGTCAGTCCTGATGTTCGTTTTGTTTCCTAAAAACAATCGGCTCAATAGCTTTTCCGATAGAAGCACTATGCCACATACCTCAAGAAAATTTGATACACTGAGGGATTTTTCTGTTTTTTTTATGTGCAGTTTTGAAGTTTGAAGTGCAAAATATCAAATTCCTGCAAGTAATGACGAATAACACTGGAAGTTTTTTCAGTTCTCAATTGTTTTGCCAACTGTTATCATCTACGTTTTCATATTTCTTGCCGGTGTATTTGGTAACGTTTGTACTTGCGCTGTGATCGCCAGCTGCTCATTTATGCATAGCACAACGAATTATTATCTCTTCAGCTTGGCTATTTCCGATCTTCTGATCCTGATTATCGGTATGTTAATCTACCTAAGCGCACTTATTTACTCTGGTATCTTGAGCAGCTGTTGTTTCATCGTCAAGTTTGTCCTCGCCACTGATGCATCGGACAATTCGATTCTTCATCATTTTGAGCCTCTCTCACTTACATAATTTTCTATAGCCATTGAAACACTTCATCGCCACCCACTTATTAATCATCCCAGTTCTCAGTTTGCTGTACCTCCTAGTAAACGGTTATTTGTGCTGTTTTAGTAATGTATAATATTATTATGCGCTTTCGAGTATATGCAAATGCAAAAACGCATATCGTGACAACTTATATTGTGACAAAACACATATCGTGTATTTGTATGATGTGTGTATGTTTGTGTGTGTGTGTGTGTGTGTGCGCGTGTGCGAGTGTGTATATGTGTGTGTGTTTATGTGTGCGCGTCTGTCTGAGTACTTCAACTCGGCAACCAAGCAAGCTCCGGCGCTAATATTTTACTAGTAGATTCCTCGGCCAAGTACTATCCCCAACCGTAACGCATGTCTGGGCCTCGTATACGACCGCGTGAAAGTTTTGGCAGGAAAATTGCAAACTCGGGAACTAGGAAAGCTGCAGCCGAAATTTTGACGGAATTCTCCTTGCCCAAATACCACATAATTGCAAAATTAACTACTTGGACTTTGATGAACAGACAAATTCTAGCTACAGGGATTTCAAGCGACCTTACTACAGTACGAAGTACTGCAAAAACATATGATCGCACTTGCCCGCCTGGTGCATGCCGACAATGATTTTTTCTCTCAGGCTTGCCTATGGAATTGTATGATGTTTTGGGCAGCACATACCCATACAAATTTGGTTCCGTTATATGCAAATTACGGGCATTTCTCGTGGAATTTACATCTTATGCATCAATTCTTATCATATCAGCATTTACAACGGAACGCTGGTTCGCCATTTGGTATGTCCCACGGCAGTGAAATTGAAAAAATTGTTCAATATGTTAAAAAAGAATTGCTTAAATAATGCATGGGTGACTAATAGTCCTTCTGCGGATTTATCGAAAGCGAAATTGGAATTTTAAAATTTTACGGGATATCAAAATCCAAGAAAAAGAAGAAGACAAATCATCAGAGAAAACATCTTTTCGAAGAATTCTTACAAGTGAAGCAGAAAAGCGATTCTTAGGATGCTTAGTGAGGAATGGGAGAAGCTAAATTGTTGAGGTCAGTACTTTGCAACTTCTAATCTCTGTAGTGAAGCATTGTGGATTTTCCGAACATGTTAAATGTAGGAATCATTAGAATGATGTTCTGAAATAATTCGTGAAGAAGTTTCCTCATCTGGAAAGAGTCGAAGGTCGGCGCAAGGCTCGAAATTTGAGAGTCAATATAATTTTAAAAAATGCATAATGAGCCCTTTATTTTAAAAACTATTTTAAAGGCTGAAAAGTATTTTAATTTCTTAATTTTTTATTCCAATTTTTCTAGAATTCAACTTTTTTGATTTTAAAAACTCTCTGCGTTTTGTTTTGAAGGCTGAAACTTAGTCTAACCCAATCATCACCATTTTTCTAGCTTTAAATTTTGACTTCAAAATTAATTTGTGATTTTGAGGTTTAAAAATAAAATCGAGAACATAAAGTGCACTATACAATTGCGCAGATGTAAAATTTGCCATAATTTTCGTTAAATTGCCGAACTTGGAGTGATAATAAATATGATTAAAATAATGACTATTCTTTCTGAAAAAACTTACTATTTTCATTAAAAGTTAATAGCCACTTCTAGACAATTTTCTTTTTTCCTTTTCTTTTTTTTTGCACTTCACTTCTTAGTCAAGGAAGAGTCTCATCATGATCAACGAATGGTAAAATTCAAGGAAAGTTGATGACATCAGTGACATCTCGGGATTGCTGAAGCTTTCCAAAGCGCTTCCATCGAGGGAGCCGTTGAATTGGTAATTCCCTCCGGAGACAATAGAAATGTCAGGATCGCCAGCAGGCTGATCACCATGTGATCCAGTACTGGTCAATGAAACTGGAAAAGATGCCGGGTGTAAAGTTGAAGAACGGCGCTACAAATTGCAACTGATCAAAATATCAAAGCAAACATGTGCGATTTCGATATCGTTCGTACATCATTATTTCATTGAGCAATTTTTTACAATCATTATTTTTGTTTGATTTTTACAATTTTAGTTTCCCTCTGCACACTCGTCATTCGTCATCGATGACGCGGGCATTTAAGGTTATCCCGATTGCATGGTCCATCGCCTTTCTCGCTGCACTTCCAATGGCTTTCGTCGTAAAAGTTAATCGGCTTGCGTTGCCTCTCGCAGCCATAAACAGCTCATGGAGCCATCTGGTAAATACAGCTTACTTGTGTGATTTGCAAATTAATTAAAAAAAAGGAAAACTAGAAGTTTTCAAGGATATCCGAGACTCTTTGCCAAAAATACTTCTGTTGAGAGAACCCAGTTTGCAGTCTCATCAAGAGACGAAACAAAAGTGGCCATATTGTTGATCACGAGAGCGATAAAGTATTGGTCAATATTAGTCAATGTAATTGGAAAAGTTGCCGGCTACATAACTAAAGAACGCTACTGTGGCGCTGAGTAAAACATCTTATTAATTTCCGAAATCTTGACATAGCTTGTTTTTTCATCCTCGCTATGCTGATGGTCAGGGGTCTTGTTAGCCAAAAGCAAGATTTTTATGCTGCTAAAAATATTATGCGAGCAGCTTAAATTTCCAGCGATGCAGCTGGCAAAGTTTCCAATTACTTTGAAAAATGCCGCATTGTCTGATGATTGACCTGCTGGTAATGCGAACTGCTCGTTTCATCGCCTAAAAAGACTAACAGTTTAATGGTCCTTCCAGCTGCTAACAATTTCCAGAAACAATTTCTCCAAGCTGGTTTGGTAACAATTTTTTTCGAAGCAATTTTTTTTTTTTGAATTTTATTTTCTAGAAACAAATGGGTTGATTATTATTGCAGGTCTCGGATGACGGCCAAACAATTATAAATACTGAGTTTTGCGCAATGGATGTTAATAAACCGAATGCTCAAAAATTTCTAATTTACTTCGCCTTTACCGTATTTTTTCTTCTACCTGGTAAAAGATTATTTCTTTCTCGCATTTGCCTTTCTTTGCATTTTGTTTCAGTAAAAAATGCTGCAGCATTTCGAAAATGAAAGAGAACTGTAGCTCATATTTCAAAGACAAATATCAAAAGAAAAGCTTAGGCAGAAATACAGTTGTAGGTGTCATAAACGGAATTACTTTCGAAAATGGTGACAGAGCCGCAGGAAATCCATACTACTCAGCCTCGTATCCAAATGCACTACACCACCAGCTTTTGTCCTCCAAAATCCACCCGGCAGCATATCTGTTCCAAAATCAACCTAACAGCATACTTTTCAAAGCAAAATACGCTATTTTCCTAGTTGCTTCCCACAGACAGCATACATTTTCTTCTCTTTGTGACGGTTTCTTCTTTGTCGGCTTTTGCGGGCTTTCCACGATGTCAGAGAATCAGCGACCAATTCCCAGAATATTTGGTGTGATAAAAACTGAAATTAAAATCTTCCGGGTTCCTAAACGCGCATTAGTGAAAAAAACACAACGGAATTGCTACGCGTGTTCGATTTTGCTACGCATACGTGCTGTTTGTACCCGTTGTCTGCTTGATGCAGGCGCGCCATGTCTTCGTGGACTTTTGCGGCGATTACTATCAGTTTATCAGCGAAAATACAGCTGCTGATTTTCCTTCAGTTTTCATTATTTGCAGCTGTACTAATAACAGTAGCTTATCTTTTCATTGGCATAAAACTGCGTCAAGCGG